CATTTATCAGCAGCTCCTCCACTTCATAATCAGCATCTCCCCTTCATCATCAGCTCCTCCTCTTCATAGTCAGCTCCTCCCCTAGCTCCTCCCCTTTATCATCAGCAGCTCCTCCCCTTTATCTTTAGCACCTACCCTTCACCAGAAACTCCTCCCCTTCATCATCAGCAGCTCCTCTTTACAATAAGCTTCTCCTCTTCATCTTTAGCACCTCACCCTTACCAGAAACTCCTTCTCTTTAATCATCAGCTCCTTCTCTTCATCATCAGCACCTCTCTTTCATAACCAGCAGCTCCTCTTTATAATCAGCTCCTCTTTATAATCATCAGCAGCTCCTCCCCTTCATCATCAGCACCTCCCCTTCATCATCAGCACCTCTCATTCATCAGCCGCTCCTCCCCTTCAATCATTAGCACCTCCCCATCATAATAAGCCCCTCCCCTTCATCAGTAGCACCTTCCCTTCATAATAAGCTCCTCCCCTTCTTTAACAGCTCCTCTCTTGCATCATCAGCACCTCCCCTTCATAATCAGCTCCTCCCCTTCATTAACAGCTCCTCTCTTGCATCATCAGCACCTCCCCTAAATAATCAGCTCCTCCCCTAAATCATCAGCAGCTCCTCCCCTTCATCATTAGCTCCTCCCCTTCGACAATGATCTCCTCCCCATTACCAGAAACTCCTCCCCTTTATTAATAAGCACCTCTCCTTCATAATCAGCAGCTCCTCATCATAATCAGCAGCTCCCCTTTATTAAAAGCTCCTCCTCTTTATAATCAGCTTCTCCTCTTAATCATCAGCAGCTTCTCCTCTTCATCATCAGCAGCTTCTCCCCTTCATCATCAGCACCTCTCATTCATCAGCCGCTCCTCCCCTTCATCATTAGCACCTCCCCTTCATCATCAGCTCCTCCTCTTCACCAGAAACTCCTCCCCTTCATTAACAGCTCCTCTCCATCATCAGCACCTCCTCTTCATAATCAGCCCCTTCCCTTCATTAACAGCTCCTCTCTTGCATCATCAGCACCTCCCCTAAATAATCAGCTCCTCCCCTAAATCATCAGCAGCTCCTCCCCTTCATCTTTAGCACCTCACCCTTAACGAAAACTCCTCCCCTTAATCATCAGCTCCTCCCCTTCATAATCAGCACCTCTCTTTCATAACCAGCAGCTCCTCTTTATAATCAGCTCCTCCCCTTAATCATCAGCAGCTCCTCCCCTTCATCATCAGCACCTCTCATTCATCAGCCGCTCCTCCCCTTCATCATTAGCACCTCCCCATCATAATGAGTCCCTCCCCTTCACCACAAACTCCTTCCCTTCATAATCAGCTCCTCCTCTTCTTTAACAGCTCCTCTCTTGCATCATCAGCACCTCCCTTAAATAATCAGCTCCTCCCCTAAATCATCAGCAGCTCCTCCCCTTCATCTTTAGCACCTCACCTTCGACAAAACTCCTCCCCTTAATCATTAGCTCCTTCCTTTATTAATAAGCACCTCCCTTTCATAATCAGCAGCTCCTCTTTATAATCAGCTCCTCCCCTTAATCATCAGCAGCTTCTCCCCTTCATCATCAGCTCCTCCCCTTCATCATCAGCACCTCTCATTCATCAGCCGCTTCTCCCCTTCATCATTAGCACCTCCCCTTCATAATGAGCTCCTCCTCTTCACCAGAAACTCCTCCCCTTCATTAACAGCTCCTCTCCATCATCAGCACCTCCTCTTCATAATCAGCCCCTTCCCTTCATACTGAGCTCCTCCCCTTCACCAGAAACTCCTCCCCTTCATTAACAGCTCCTCTTCTTCATCATCAGCACCTCGTTCTCATAATCAGCTCCTCCCCTTCATCATCAGCTGCTACTGTCATTAATCAAACCCCCCCCACCATCAGCTCCTCCCATTCATCAGAAACTTCCCCCTTCATCTTTAGCACCTCCCCTTCACAATGATCTCCTCCCCATTACCAGAAACCCTTCCCCTTCATTAACAGCTCCTCTCCTTCATCATAAGAACCTCCTCATCAGAATCAACTCCTCCCCTTTATTAAAAGCTCCTCCTCTTTATAATCAGCTTCTCCTCTTAATCATCAGCAGCTTCTCCCCTTCATCATCAGCACCTCTCATTCATCAGCCGCTCCTCCCCTTCATCATCAGCACCTCCCCTTCATCATCAGCACCTCTCATTCATCAGCCGCTCCTCCCCTTCATCATTAGCACCTCCCCTTCATAATGAGCTCCTCCCCTTCACCAGAAACTCCTCCCCTTCATTAACAGCTCCTCTTCTTCATCATCAGCACCTCGTTCTCATAATCAGCTCCTCCCCTTCATCATCAGCTGCTACTGTCATTAATCAGAACCCCCCCACCATCAGCTCCTCCCATTCATCAGAAACTTCCCCCTTCATCTTTAGCACCTCCCCTTCACAATGAGCTCCTCCCCTTCACCAGAAACTCCTCCCCTTCATTAACAGCTTCTCTCCTTCATCATAAGCACCTCCTCATCATAATCAACTCCTCCCCTTTATTAAAAGCTCCTCTCTTTCATCATAAGCACCTCCTCTTTATAATCAGCTCCTCCTCTTTATAATCAGCTCCTCCTCTTCATCAGCCGTTCCTCTCTTTCATCAGTAGCCCCTCCCTCTCATTAATAGCTTGCCCACTTACCACTTTTAGAGTTGTCAGTATAAATGCGCTGCTTATACCATATACACTCCAAAACGGCATAGAATAGTGCACAAGTGTGTGATTTGGGACGCACCTGCAGTCTCTGAGTGTGTTATTCTGCGAGAGTGAAGCCGCGCTGAACTGATCCCAGTGAGACTGAAGCAGTTTTCCACACCATTAGCCTGCTGGATGATCTGAAGAAGAGGAGAGCGTGCTAGTCAAACACAGATCTCCTGTTCAGCCGACAGCGCTAACAGCTAACAGCATTAGCAGTCCTGCGGTCTCCCCGCTCGGCGCTGACGGCTCAATGTTTCTCATTCATCACATCAGCTGCTCTGTCCTCCATATAAGAGCACACGCTATACTCCAACACACACTGAAAAGAGGAAGCGTCTCATTTTGCTCAGGTGGATTAATGGGTTACTTAGCAAGACAGGTGAAGACAAGATGATTAGCTCTTCTGTGACGTTTCAGATATTTCCAGAGT